GAGGACCTGTGGCCCAATCCCCTGCAGTACTACCCGAGGCAGGAAGGCAGCCAAAGGGAATGAACTGAGAGGAGGGCCTGTCGGTGAGAAGCCAGGGTGCTGGGGCCTGACGTGTGTGTGTGGAAGGTGCCGGGAAACAGGCAGGTTGGCAGTGGGGAAACAGGCTCAGGGGAGCTTGGGCCCCAGCTTGCCCAGGGAGCGGGTGGCAGGGTGAGAAGTGAACCTGGGGGAACTCAGGGTACACATCCAGGTGGGTGTGTCCATGCGGCACGTTCATGCCCCCCGGCTGGCAGCTGGAACGTCCCAGGTCACTCGGGAGAAGCGAGACTTCTCCACCCCATTTCTCTGAACTCTCGTCCGTGCCCGTCGACCCTCTCTCAGGCCTCCTGCCGCTCGTTCAGTTGGGGATGTCCTGCCAGTCTTTGGGAGTGGGGCTCCCTTGTTCCATTCCCGCTCCCGGGCCCAGAATCCCCGACTTCCCTCCGTGTTCACGACCACCGCGTGGCCTCCCACAGCCACGCAGCCATTCTTGAGAATGGCACTGGGCCTTGAGCAGCAGGCTCGTGAGGCTCTAGCTGAGGTGGAGAGGGATCCCACGACGACAGAGGACACCCTCAACACCGCCTTGGTTATCCTTGGTATTATGCAATTTCACGAATCCCTAACGTGTGTATGTGTGCATGTGTGTGTGTGTGTTGGGGGCTTGGCAGCTGTGTGGACGTGTACAGTGCAGAGCATCAGAATTTGACCAACAAGAAGTAGTCGAGGAGGCGTCCACCACTGTGAGAGATGGGTGGACGAATCTACGTGGTGCTCTGCCTGCACAGGACAGAATTGGGGGAAGGCTCACCAGTGGCAGCTCTGGAGAGTATCCAGCACCTATCTAGGGATGGCGAGAGAGGCATAAACAAGTTATGAAGCTCTTTGCGTCTGTGTGTTTGTACGTGGAGCCGGGATATGGCGAGGAGGCAGTCAGCCTAGTGGGACCCTCCATGCCATGGCCTGTGGGATTCCTTGTGTGGCGGTGATGTTCAGCATGGGGACAGGGCAGTGGAGGTCAGGGCTAGGCATGTGGACAGAGCACCGCCCATCCTAGGCAGGGTCTAGGAGGAGCACAGCAAAGGCAGACCCCTCTTCATGGGAGCCTTGTCCTTTAGGGTAGGGCACACAGGTGGGGAAGGGTCCTGGCGAGCGGGACCCTCGTGGCCCGGTGGCTCCGGGTACCGCCGCATTGACAGCACTTGGGGAGCTTGGCCCAGTAGCCTTGCTCCTGGAAGCGTGCCCCAGACTGCTATGATCGGTTCCCATGCATTCATCCGGTCAGGAGCACTGCAAAACCCACGTGTCCCGGGAGGAGGAG